GTGGTGTGAGTGGGGGGGGGGAGGGGCCCAGTCAGCTGGGCGCGCTGCGGGGAGCGGGAGCTGCAGCGGCGCAGAGTCAGCCCCGGCGGCCGCCATGCCCGGCATCGACAAGCTCCCCATCGAGGAGACGCTGGAAGACAGCCCCCAGGTGAGAGAGGCGAGACGCAGCCCGCTGGGTGGAGGGCAGGCCGGGCCCAGCCGCGGGGCGCCGGGCCTAGCGCTGACCCCCTCTCGCTCCCTCCCGCCGTGTTCCCTCGGGGGGGCGGTGGAGCGCCTCGGCGGCGGCCGGGAGGCAGGGGAAGACCCTCCCCGGCAGCGGGGCAGGGACGCTGCGTGCGTGGCCAGGGGCCTTCCCGGCCTCCTCGCCCGCGTGGCGTGGCAAGGGCTTGGGGCCAGGAGTCGCGGCGCTCGCGCTGTCCGCTTCGGCAGCGCGCGCTGCCAGGAGCCGCCCCGCTCTCGGCGGCGCCTCCCCGCCCGCGCCCCCGCCTCCCCGCGTCCTGCGCGCTGGGGAGCCGTTCGGGAAGCAGCGAGCTCGGTGACGGTTTTCCAGAGGTCCTGTGCTTCGGCGTCGGGGTGGTGGCTTGCATCGACTCCCTTCCTTCCCCGCCCCCGCCTTTGCGTTCGTGACTTACTTTGGAGACTTCGTGTTGACAAAACCCGTCTTCGCTTCTCAAGACGATTTTTCTTATCTTTGTGTTTTACTAAAAGGCATTAAGGTGTAATAGATAGTTAGGAAAAGCCGTTATTGGATGCGGTTATCGCGGCGGTTGTTAATGCGGTGAGTAGGTGGGAAACGCGTGGTGCTGAGAGGCCTTTAATGACTCTGATGTCTTCACTTCCATTTCTGCTGCCTGACCTTTGTCAGTGATGCCATATATCGCATTGGCGTTTCTTTCATACTGCTATTAACCAGGAAATGCTTTATTCAGTTGCACTGGCTTCTTTTGCTGGCAGCAACAACAGCAAGTACTTTGTACTGCTCTTCCTAGACATGGAAAAAAAGTTTACAATATATTTTCCTTTATTGCAGCCTTTTGAATTAAGATCCTTGTTTTGCTGCATTGTTTATGTAGGTGAGCAAGACTTTCTATATTGTGATAGCATAGGTATTGGTAGTTTTGATTCTTCAACCATAGGAAGATAAGCTTTCACTTGCTTAATAGGGAATTTTAACCCCTAAAATGACAGCCATTTTAACAAATTACGTGAAGTGGAGGAACAGCTTAGGAAAAGCAACAGAAGGCGGCCATGCAGAAAGTGTGTCATTGCTTGCCAAAGGACAGTGCCCCGTATAGCTCAAATACCAGATGTTAGATGAGATCTAGCCTGTAGTATGGTCTCTGGCCCACAGGCTAAACCTGATGTACTCTCATGAAGAGGAAAAATTTTTGGAAGTGTTATAATAACAGTAATTTAACAGAATTATCTCTTGAAGGTCTGTTCTCAGTATATGGAGGTCATAACTATTCATATTTATAGGAAATGTCAAATGTGAGAGAAACTTAGGATCCCTAAAACGTGGGATGTAGGGGTTTTTCCCCAAGCACTTAAGACTGGAATGTCATTTGGGAAGCACATGCAAAAAAGTTACGTATTGGAAAATACTTATAAATTCTAGAGTCTTTCATTTGACATTATTTGTGATACAGACTAGCAAAGCCTAACTCAGCCCAATGAGCTTGATGTGCTTGAACTATTAGATTTGCCGATATCTTCTTCTGGTTTAGGTACAAAATTTTACGTCTTTCAGTCAACCTAGTATTTCCAGTGAAATCTGGCTAACCACCTCTTAGAATAACATAACTAGGACTCTGTAGTTTTCTATTACATCAGTTCATTTCTGTTATTTTGAAAACAGTGCAATGAAAATGGCAGGAAATGTCGCTTGAAGAAAGAAGAAACCTTGCTTTCTTTAGGAGTTGCCATGACTTTCTGATTGATGTGTTCATGCTGTAATATTGAAAAAGATCATCAGCCTAGGTTGTTGGTTAGTGCTGAACTATGGACTGGAGTTTTGCACCTTTAGACGTGTTTCAGACACTAACTGTAGGTGTATAAACATGATATCAAACTTATTCTGCATGTGAGCGAAGGAAAGGCTTTTCTAAAATGGCAAAACCCATTCATTTCCTCTTGTCGCAGGATAAAAATCTAACCACTGTGTTTTTAGATGTAAACCAAATGCCAAGTTTACGTTGTCTTTTGCTGTGCAAAACAGTGCAATTTAAATACTAACTTAGGACATGTATTGCGCACGTACTCAGTGTTTATATATATGTGTTCAGAGGCAGTTTGTGCTCAGACTTACTTGCATTCCTGAAGCGTTGCACAATAAAAAAGCCAAGAGACTTGATAGTACAGGCTCTATCTCGTGTCACTTACGCTGCCGTACATGTGATGACATG